CAGGGGAGAGAGGGGAGGAGGGGCAGCGGACTTCCCTGGTTTGCTGCTGGAAATCGGCATTTTAGGGCCTTGTAGTCATTTCCTTGCTAGTGTGAGGAAACTTTTTGTACATTTATATAAAATAGGAGGCCAGAAGTGCACACCCCCATCTTACTTCCTAATATATTATGTTCCCCCCTGCCGAGTCCTGGGACGTAGTCTGGATTTGGTAACTGAAGTAATATAAATGTTAGCTAAGAAGTATTCCAGCAATATGGTTCCAATTTTAGCTTGTTTTGAAGTCTAAAGGACTAATATGTCTCAGAGATTCTTCACTAGATGTTTAGCTCTAACGTAATTTGTACAGGAGTGCACACTGCTCTCTAGAAGCCCTTCTGCAACGCTCCAGAAAACAGGTTCCTTCCCAAGCAGGACACAGAACAATCAGGAGTCCTGGCTCTTGCTGATAACTCACTTGCTTCTTCTGAATTTTGGGGCTCTGCTTGGGAAACGGTGTCATATTTGCCAGGTCTTGCGGATAAATGAAGGTGCAGCGGCACTGCATATTGCCACTGGTTTCACTCCCCTCTTCCTCTTGCTTTTCAGGGATGAAGCAAGCCACCTCTGAAGGAAGCCATGCTCTGCAAGCTGTTTGCACTTTACTTCAATAACATGCTTCTTGCAATGCTGGCTTTATTTGTGTAGACATGCATTCTCAAGGTTTGCCTGCCCCCTTTTCCTCCCTCACACCCCTATGGAGCCCCTGCCTGAATCCAAGTAATGAGCTAACCCATGGAACTCATTGCCCTTTATCTTGCTGGGGAACGTGCACCTTTTGAACTGCCATCTGCAGATTGTGTTGATGCACTGACTTGTTAACTGTGCCATACTGTGAAGGAAATGGCATGATTTAGATCAAGTGCTCTGGACGGCTGTTCATAAGAAACACTTGAGCCAAGCTGTTACTGCTCAGGATGTGCCCTGGGGAGAGGGGTTTCGTTTCGGGTCATGCTCTTGCCTTGTATGAGGGCAGGCGCAAAGTACTGAAATCACAGTCCTTCCCTGAAGCTGAGGGGAGGGGGGAGGAGAAACATTATGAAACCATAGAAGCGAAGCTGCCAAATTAACTTCTCACCCTTTCAATCACACTCCAGAGGATAAAAGCCTAACATTTCTGCCTCAGAAATAGGCTCAGCTTACACAAAACAAGTTATTTCTCTAATTTATCAGACTTGCCAGCTATCATTCTAATTATTGGAAACCTCAGACTTTTTATGAAGTCAGAAGTACAGCATTATTTGCATGGCTGTAACATATCACTAGATAAATAGGTTTGGGGGAAAGAAAGGGTTTTTAGAAAGGAATCTGCAGGTTTCTTTACACAGGGGTTTAAGAACACTATCACTGAAAATAAAAAGGTTCTGGATTTAATTTTCAAAAAAAAAAAAAAAAGCAAATTCCAACATAATGTAACATAGTTCAAGTCAACATGAGAGGAGGAGACCATGACGGAAAGCTCATCAAAAGACTCCCATTGACTTTCACTGGCTTTGGATCAGCCCTTAATTCTTTACCTTCACTTGCATAGCAGCATAATCACAGAAACAGCCTAACACCTTGCAGTCAGGCTAGGCAGAGGACTCAGAAAGAGCCATCCAGACAGGCTGTTCACCAGGCCTTTCAAAACGCAAACACTGATTTGTCCACTATATGTAAATGGATGATTAGAGTCATTCTCTAAGACAAATTAACTTTTCTACACACTCTAAATCTGTTTAGTCACTTTAAAGGTGTCAATTATTGGAGCATGCTAAGACTATGAATTTCTTAGTAATAGCTTTAATAGCATTTTGAAATGAAAAGCAGATACCTTGAAGTTGGCTTACTTTGAAAAGACATATGAGTAGATCTGGTTTTAATTTATGTCCTATTCTACATCTGGAATCCCTTATAATTAAAACTAAAAGCTGGACTACTACTTCCACCTGTCAAATGATGAAAAGATGAATGCACTAATAGCTTACTAAATAGCCTAACATGATAGAGTTTACTTTCCCATTCTATACAGTAAAAAAGGATTTTGGACAGGAGGCTAAAGGTCTTTGGTCATTACTAATAGCACACTTTCAGTATTAACCTACGTACCCCACTACCATCACCACCAGTGCCTTTTAGCACCAAGATCTCTAAACTGCACTTTGCATTTTGATTAGATACGTGTATTCATCTCTGCTGCTGCAGTGTTTCAGGCTTTCCCGATCTACAGGTGGATTCTCTCCCCTATAACTATTTTAAACCACTCCCCATTTTCCTTCCTCTCATTTTATTCTCTAATTAACTACTTTAATCCATCAAGTTTTCTATCCACGTTTCTGAAGCATTCTTATTCCAAATGACAGCGTTCCTGTTGATGTGAGCTGTCCAGGGCATGTGACAACTTGGACTCTATTTTCTCATCTTCTTATGCCGTTTCTGTTTGATCTCATCCCCTCCTCTTCCTGTTGATTCACCTGTCTCATCTTACTACACTGTCTCACTCAAGAGAATTTTAACACATGTATTTGTACAGAATCAAACAGAACTAGACCCTCAGAAGATAAGCAGGGCCTTGATGTACAGACAGTATCAATAAAATGACACCTGTTAGATTAACAAGTTAAAACACAATAAAAATATTCTTCTATAGAAATACTGAACACTTTTCCCCTATTGTGTTGATACATCACCCATGAGTCTTCATAGATGTCCAGTCAGATTAGGAACCTCCTATGGGAATCCATGAGATTACAGCTCTCGAGTGTGAGCCTACAGCCTTTTTTTGGCTCTTAAGAGCCATCCTTTCCAGCACAAGCTTGCCCATTTATCATTAAAGTTGTATAAAAACCTAACCAAACCACAGAGGGGTGAATCCATTTGCAATGCTATACAGTAATTTTTAAAATAAATGAAGAGCAAGGGAGTGAGTTTCCAAAGGAAAACCTTGGTTCTGTCCTCACACAGTCCTTGCAGTGGACAGCCAGCTGTGTGGGCAGTCTCTGAAGATTGCCTCATTGCCTGCTCTTGTTTCCTCTGTTCATAGAAATATGAAAACAGGATTTTACTCTGCTTGAAAAATAGTTTGGAACAGTCCAAAATACGAAGGTGTTTACTCTAGATAAAGCAGTCTTATTAACACTTTTAGCATTAATGCTATACTCACTGTTTCCAGTGGACAAAGAGCCCCAGTAGTTCTTACAGTTCTGCATACTGTTAAATAAATTATTTTCATATTACTGTATTCCTCAAAGGAAAATAAAAGTCTTGTCTCCTGAGTCTCTAAACAGCTGCTCAAAAGCCTCCATGGCATATTGATGCCAAGAGACAGGAATATTCCAGCAAAATGTTTTACTAAGACAGACAGCTATGGAAAAAGCTGTCCCAAATATTACAAACGCACAGCACTCAACTTCTTACGTCAAAGCAAAGAGTAATGTTTCAACTGCCCCAGCAAGTAGGAAATGATGCAGGTATTAAACACTATTACGAGAACAGAGACACATTAGTTACTGCTTATGCAGTAGGACTGTGAATGGAGCTTTTTGTTGTGGAGGATTTTCAGGGGGAAAGTTAATACACTTTGTCCAGACCATGAGATGGTACAAATCAGTGTAGTTCCATCTAAATCAATGGATCAGTGTTGATTTACAGCAGCTGAGGATCAACCCCCTCTTTTTTGGCCTGCTGAGGATTGTATAACATATACTGCCTAGAAACACTGATGACAAATTTGAAACTGTGTAGGGATATGCTGAACCAAAAGCCTGATTCAAACTCAAACTGGCTACTCTCCTTTTAAATCACTAAGAGCTGCTGTCTTAAATGTTACTGTCAAACCAGAATTTTTAAACATGTATCAAAATCTAGCACTGCACCCTCTGGTCTGTGCCACGGATGCTGCATTCCATACAAACTCAAACCCGCCTAGTGCCAATTCATAAACGATGTGTTGGTTTAATCTATTTTTCACAGGGGGTGTTTCAGAGCAGGAAAATTAGAAACAGGTAGAAGGGACTATTATTACTGTCTCATAGTGTGCTCTTGTACATGAGGATCAGATTAAGATAACATCTGGTCTATATTTCTTGAACTATTTCCCTTTTATCACAAGAAAATCGGCAACCCATCTCACAACTGCTCCTAATTTAGATCTAAATGTCACTGATGAAACATTGTACAACATGCTGTTATCTATTAAAATGATTTCCCTGAAGGAACAGTGGATACTTTTATATTTTCCAGTGAAGCCAACCATATTCCCCCTTAGCACTAACTAGTTGCCTTATAATCATATACTCAAATGGTAAAGGCAAAATCACTTTGGAAAAAACAAATGAGTCCCCACCAAATCTTCAGCTGGTGGAAATTAATGCCTGCTCACTGATTTCAGTGAAGCAAGCTCCATTTACACCACCCTCCTTACGATAATGGCTTTGATTCACACACGGTCCAAACCTGCAAGGTGCTAAGGCTGTTCTGCACTCACTGGTTTTAAGAGGAACTGATTAAAGCCAGGGCCAGGCTCAAATGCATAATTTAGCAACGTTTTTAAGTATGTGCTTCAGGGCTTGACTTTCATGCACACAGCAGAGGAACAATGAACAGTCCAGAGATTTTTGCTGGGAAGCAGAAAGGCAGAGCACAGCACACTGTCATCCCTCTCATTTGGTTCAAACAGAAAAACTGTCAGTGGAATGCAGTAATCTTTTTTTCAGCACTTTGCAGAGTTCAAGTCCCCAGAAAGTAGCCTATTGAGTTCAGCAAATAAAAACTTCTGTTTTCTTCACAAGTCTATAATTCATTTTCATGGACAGTAAATCAGAAAATGGAGGGGAAAAGTACTTTACAATCTCAAACTATTTTGCATACCTTTGCTGCACATCAGTTTTAGCCATTTCCATCATATCGTTACCACTTAAAAAAGAGGGAATTAGATAAGCATACGTCCCCTGTATTAACTGGTTTAATTTAAAAGTAATTTCTGCCATCTGGAATTACTATTTACTGTTGTTTGGAGGAAGAGGGAAAAAAAGAGAATCTGAAACTGTAGAAAAGATCATCACAATTTCTTTCAAAGAATAACCAGTCTGAAGGAGGGTGAAGCATACAAGGAATGTAATTGATTACCCACCAGTCAACTTGTATATTTTGGAGGGAATTCCAAGAATAAAAAGTTTCTAGCAGTTATCAGCGGTCAGACTGGAGCCATTCATTTTTCACCTGCTTATGTTTGTTGTCTGGCACCCAGTCAAGGGTGCTATTAGCAGAATTAAGCTCCAGAAGAAAAGATTACCCTGTAGGAGGTAAGATAAAGACTGGAAAGTGTGGCTTGTTATCAGTATCACAGTAAGGACCAGGTCAGAAAGGATTCAGTGTGGGTTTTCATTTCAAACAGGTAATCTCTACTGAAATAATAGAGTAATTGTTGCTTTGAAACCTTTATGTGCTGCAGCATACTACAGATCATTTGATGCAGATTCTGGATTAATGAAGAACTCCAACAAGCCTGAAACAGACACACAGAGAAAGCAAGAAAAGAACAGTGCACCAGTGGAAAATGTCTTTATCCTCTAATTCCAGGTCAATATAGTGAAACATAAAATATTATTCAGGGCAGTTTTATACCTTGATTTATGTATCCCCTCCTTCTCAGTCTGCTTTCTATCTGTCTATAAAGTTTTGGTCTATAAACATGCAGTAATGTAATACAAAATATTGCAAGAGTAATAACATATGCAATTACAGTACATCTCACAAATCCTGAACACAAGCAATGAATCAAAGCTTTCCAGGACTATTCCTTGAAAAAAAATTTTTCTTAGGTTTTATTCAAAGGCTTGAAACCAGTCACTGGGACAAGCTGCAAGAGCAAGATGCACATTGCAGATGATGGACAGCATTTTATGTTTTTCTGGCAAATTGCTTTAATGTTTGCCTTGAAAAGTAATTGTTGAGTGGGCTTTTCATTTTTTTTTTTTTTTATAAAGATAGTGCACCTTTCTTTTGGTTTGGAAATTAACCTGCACTTTGGTTTCTTACTGTCTGCAGAAAGTGCTAACCAGCAAAATACTTGAACTTCTTAGTCTCAAAATACAAAGGATGAACTGGTAAACACTGGCAAAGTACAAAGAAAATACAGCAAAGAGTTCTTTCATCTATAGCTTCTTACCTTATGGCAATCTTCAGTTTTCAAGCCTTGAAGGCATTTAAAGAAAGCTCTACTTTGGTGTGGACTTCATCAGTCTTACACATAGTCCTTTTCCAGCCATGCCACAAGGAAGGAAGCCAGGTAAAAAGCAGGCCAAGGCTATAATATCTTCTGCTGGAGAAATTCTGAGTTCTGGCTGTGGAGGAGAAAACAGTAGATTTTGCAGGGTTATTTCACATGAAGGCAGTTCCCTGATCCTACTTCAATTACCACAGGGTAATTTACAGCCCTCAAAACAACCTGAAGAGGACATAGACTATGATTTCAGCCAAGAATTCCAGTGGCAAATCCACAGACATGGCTATAATGCCCATTGTTATGTGATGTATTTATGTGTGCTTGCTCCCTCCCTCAGTTCCTGATAGCACTTAGTATCATATTGGCCTATGCCTGGATTCAGGTATGCTATAATTTACACTTCAGAGTTTTGAAGAGTTGTCTGAGGATCTCTGAGCTTGCACAGTTTTTATTTTAGAAATCTTGCAAAAGCAGGGGATTTGCAGAAAATAATTTATATACCAAGATTTCAGTAGAACTATGGAATTGTGGGTAACTACAAACCGGTCAACACAGCATCAATTCCAGATAAGACTATTATAAGGTTGTGATGAGATGCATTCAGTTATAAAGCCAAAGTCTCACTACCCAGATAGTATCAATCCTCTTGATGAAATAGGAAACAGGTCTTAAATGCTTAAAATGGTTTCATTATTACATGTTTGTTTGGTTAAAAGTAGTGGAGCTGACAGAATAAACCAAAAAAATCTACAGGGTACACTTCACAAAATGTCGATTTTAAAACAGTACTTCATCAAAACTGATTCAGCACCCAGTCTGTGGCTTGAAAATGGCCAAGAAACCACTGCATGTGGAAAATCGAGTCCAAAGGTGCAAAGATCATAGTCTGGGAGCTCCAAGCGACATAGCACAAGGAGTAGTGCAGGGATCTCACTGTGGATAGTGCCATTCAATTATATTCCACAGTTCAGAGGAACAGACAGTATTGCTGCTGATAAAGTTTGCAGATGACAGAACACTGGGTGAAGGAATGAATAACAACAAGGGTATGTCAGTTTTTCAGTTTGTCCTGGGCTGTTTAATAGGTGGAGCTTATTTGTCTATTTACACATCTTGTAATACAACCAGATGCAAGGTCATGGCTCTTGGCAAGGTCAATGCAAGGCTGGCTCAGCATTAAGAGCTATTTGGTTCCTGGTTGGGGTATATTAGCTACAATTTTGCCCCCTGAACAAGGCCAGTCACTTCAGTAACTCCAGACCTGTCCTAGAGGAAATGTTTACACTGTCCAAACATTGTCTGCACTACCTACAGATAACACTAACTAGTTCTAAATCCAGGGAGGAGAAAGGAGCCAGCCTGGAAGGCAAATCTGTGTTCCAGCCTTTTAAAGTTATCACTGAAACAATTACTTACTCAAGTCTTGTATTTTGCTAACCTATTCCGATTACTACTTTTGCTTCTGTGATACCTTAGAGGAAAAGAAATCACCACACAGACCAAAAGAAAAAAAAAAAAAAAGAGAGAAAAGATGGAAAGTTCTTTATTCATAATAAAACTTTGACTCAGATTCTAAAACGAGCTCCACAGGTGCAGCCTCCCAGCTCTCCTGACTCCACTGGAGTCACTGGGGAGTACACGGGCTTGCCTACAGAAGGATCATGGCAGATTTGAGCACATGAGCTGAGGGGGTTGATCCTGCTAACACTTCATACCAGGCATGAAGCCAGGTGCACAGAGATAAACTAAATCCTAATTAAGTGTCTGAATTCCCAGAGAAATTCATGGGTACTTAGATGCCCAAATATCAGCGTGGATATTGAGCCAGATGCTTATCTCTGTGAGTATGCCACTGATTTTCAGAGATGATGGCACTTGCCATTTTATTCCGATTTATCTCTTTTTCTTGAAGGGGAGAGAAGTAAGCCCCGAGGATGACTGCACTATCATTCATCGTTCACACACTAGCATTTTCTCAAAGGAAAAGAATGACTTTTATACCTAAGTTTGAACCTGAGCAACACAGGGAGAAAATTAGCACATCACTAGAAAGCACAGGGCTTCAAAATTTTGGCAAATATGTACTATAAAGCCTTATAAAAGAACTAGAAGATCTTATAAAAGAGCTAGAAGAGATTTATATAGTCTGAAACACAAAGACCTATATGCTTTGTACCACATTACCACTGAAATTAGCTGATAAAAATATTTAGTGACTAAACCAAAATAAAAACATTCTGATTTCACACTAAAGGTATGCTCTGCTTCTAACAGGAAATAAGAATCCTGCACATTAGATCATATCTTTGCTACCCACTCAGAGTAAATGATTGATGTAACAGTCATGTTGAATCAAGATGCTCGTTCATTCTTTTCTTTCTCTACAGAGTGACTTTCAGCCAACAGATTTTTTTTCCCTCAGAATATCTGTGATTCCTTAGATTCTTTGAGGCTCTTCCCTTAATAATTGGAGGAGCTGCCTGAGCAAAAAGCTGCAGCGCAATGCTTTCTCTCTGCTGTAAGAGTTCCCTGGGTCAGAGGCACACACACAGTCTGTGCTGCTGCAATCAAACCAGCCCAGCTTGAGAAAGCATAAACACTGTGGTGGGCAGAAGAGACAAAAGTAGGGGGCCAGGAGGGAAAACAGTCATGTCACTGTTATTTCTTTAGCAGATGAGGGGCTGATCCAGGTCCCACTGAAGTCAGTGACACAGTTCCTATCAAGTTCAACAGAAATGATCTTTAAGAGAGTGCTTTCTTGCCAGATACCTGAGTAATATGGCTGGGTCCTAAAGATTTCCACAGCAAAGAGAATCTTCCTTCCCCACCTCCACAGTTCTTCAAAGAATCAGACCTTCTTTAAAGGAGTAGCATCTTCAGGAGCGGGGGTATCCCATTAGCATAAATATTCCTCCCATCCCCAGGCATCTTCCTCCTCTTTGCATATTAGGACTACAGAGAGGATTTTCAGGTTTTTGGTTTGGGGTTTTTTTTTACAGATGTGGGCACAGCTTTAAAGACAGCAGCTAATTTTCTTCATTTTGTATTTACATGAAATTTCACTCTTCCTACTCATACCTGGAGAAAAGTAAATCTGCAGAATAATGACTAGAAAGTTATCTATCTCTGCAGTGTAATAGGTAAAAACAGCTATCCCCCCAAACTTCTGCAAACCAAAAGTAAATACTCACAAGCCACAGGGTTTTTTGACCTTGGATTAACAGATCCTCTAACTTTGGGCATCCTGGCTCTCTCCTACACTGTGCCCAAACATGGGGAAGCCATTCCAAGCTTTACACTTTACTGTATTAGTGCATGTGTGTCAGCCAAATCCTGGTGAGAAAAGAGTTAGAGCCATTGCTGCAGTATAGCTCAGAGCCACGGACGTTTTGAGTTTCAAGCTCATGTTGGTAGCACAGCTGTTTACGGACATTTTATATCAAGAAACCTGTCAAAAGTCAGAGGTAAAACTTTACGTACTATTTTATTAAATTACTTGGGATACAACAAAATGGAGTTCCAAGTCTTTCAAAATACAGAACTGTTTCCTGTTGTTTGTGTTCTTTTGCATCTTAAGGGCAGAAATGGGACTTTGCTGAATAGGAAGTGTAAGGTGAATGACATATTTGAGGAAAGAAGTACCCACATCATTACTATCGGGAAATGTGGTACATTAAGAAGGTAGGAAGAAATTTTTCAGTAGTCTAGAAGAGAGATTTTATTAGTTTGGATTATCCCAACGGGTGTTTGTTTCTCTTAAGACTCCAGCAAATTCTTTTCCTCTTTAAACTCCCAAATCAGCATACCTTTGGAAAAACACCTACATTTCCCCCAGTTACTTTCTACTGCCTCTGGTATATCCTTATCCTAAGACCAATGATCTTGATCTTCCCTTAAAAGGAAAGAATTCTACAAGGATTTCTTCAGAATAAATCCTGAGTTAGTACTTAGCATGGATGAAAATGAATGAGATAAATAAAAAAGCAGAAATAAAGGCAATGCTGTTTCCTACTGTATGTATCCTGGCCACATATTCAGCATTTATTACCAATAACATTTCCTTTTGACAGATTCCTGAAATCAGTCTATGTACTGCCTTCCTATTGCACCTTACTGCACCAGGTGTTAAGTAAATGTCACTCACCTGAGTGTATGCTTAAATTTACGATTTGTGTGGATGAAGAGATGGATACGTGACTTGTGGGAAAGCTGTGAGAGTTCACTGTAGTTTTGAAAAACCGGATTTTTAAGATAATTTTTTTTTAAGTTATAAAAAACCGTATTTGACCCACAGATGATTTTAGTGTACATACTCATGCTCTTAACTAAAATACCTCTCTCCAAGGATGCTACTGGCTTTCTACCACTTTCGGTGCGAAAAGCCTACATCTACAGGATCTGGGCAGATTCTATAACCAAACTATTCTGAGAAAACAAATCTTAAAAACAGTATATGCAATACAGCTGTTTAGTAGTTCCTCAGGGCTTACTGGTGCTTACTGCCAGCTCTCAGCTTCTTTGCTTTAAGCTGTTTCTTTAGATTACCTTTTGGAGTACGTACTCTCGCCTCCATGCTGTCACCCTAGATGGCTCTAACAAGTCTCCTGCTGCCACTTTCTTGTTCTCAGGAAGATCTGTTAACATTTTTGTCTCCTTTTGATCTCTGGACCTTTCTCTTAACACTTTTCACAGCCTCCTGAAAATGGGATTCTTGAAGTCAATAATTTGCTTATTGTCTCTCTAGTGTAAACTTAAAATGTTTTTCATCTTGGAAGCTATTTCCGTATGTGTTCTTTTCACATTTCCTCTTGGATTCAAGTGACCTGGGATTTAATAATCATTTTACCACCTGAAATGAACACTAGCACCTGCCTACTGCTCAGTAACTAAGTTGTTTGTCAGTATTCTGGGATTTGTATCTGATAGCTCCTCTCCTTTATACTGTTTGATCAGCACCTCAAAATACTGAGGTGCTGCAGCTGACAGAGGATTTTACATGTGAGGCCACATTTAAGGATGTGATAATAGAGAAGACCTCCTTACTCACAGGGAGTCTTTCCTGGCCTTTAGGGTCTATGACTTCAGACCCCTTCGAAAGATGGAAGCCTGAACAGCCATCCAGCACAGTAAGAAAATACTTCTCAGCCTATTATATACCCTGTAGCACCACCACCCCTCCAATTGATTAAAATAGCACAGTATTCTGTACCACAAAAGACTGTAATTTGTAAGGAATGCTAAGCACTTGGAAAGCACAAGGGGACACTGAGAGTGGGGAGGTCCTACCCCATAGACACTCTGTCCCTTTCAAACCATGGGAATACAGGCCCCTCAAATTGAAATGCAGACTTAGGAGATGAATGCTGTTCTTAGCTTGAACAAAACAAAACCCAATGTTTCCAAAACTGCACAGCTCTCCCTTACCCCAGGATCTTTCTTTTAAAACAATGAAACCTTTTCTAGGTTGCATGCAAAGGAGGAACATGGAAGATAAGTTTATTCTTGCTCCATAAATGAAATCTGATTATATGCCAGTGTATACCAGTGTTTACACATATGGAAAAGAGAATCAGAGAATCATTTAGGTTGGAAAATACTTTTCAGATCATCAAGTCCAACTGTAAGCCCAGCACTGCCAAGTCCACCACTAAACCATGTAAGCACCACCTCTACCTGCCTTTTAAATACCTCCAGGGATGGTGACTCCACACTTTTCTGGGCAGCCTGTTCCGGGGACATCAGACCACAAGTAGCATCTAACGCCACCTCCAACCCACCATGGAACTGTAGGAAGACTAAAATGAAATGGACTGAATCTCCAGTTGATAAGAACAAGAACAATCAACATAAGTACTTCGGGACATTAAAGAATTGTCCTCACCAACTACCTGCAGGAGAACCAGCACCTTAGTTCACAGTTTTCTTTATACAAGCAACAACCAGGAGTCAAAACCTGGATATAGATTTTACACCGGTGATACAATCACAGAACTCTATCTTCCTACTTCCACCGTTCACTCTTCTTTCTGGCTGTCGTGGTTTAAACCCAGTCAGACAGGTTGTTCACTCACTTCCCCCCCCTTCTTGCCCTCCCCCTACTCCCGGAGGGACAGAGAGGAGAATCAAAAGAATGCAACTCCCACAGGTTGAGATAAGAACAGTTTAGTAACTAAGGTATAACACAAATCACTACTGCTACCACCAATAATAATAATGATAAAGGAAATAACAAGGGAAGAGAATACAACATCTCACCACCAGCCAACTGATAACTCGCCCCCCCCCAGCCCGACCAAGCTCTGACCGATGCCTCCTCCAACCCTTCCGGCTAACTCCCAGTTACATCCTGGGCATGACGTGCTGTGGCATGGAATACCTCTTTGGCTAGCTTGGGTCAGGTGTCCTGTCTCTGCTTCCTCCCGGCCTCCCCTCCTCCCTGGCAGAGCATGAGGTTCACAAAGTCCTTGGCCAAACCAAAACATTGCTATCAGCTCTGCTCCCAGGCCGAAAGTCAAAACACTGGACTGCACCAGCTACCAAGAAGGAAAAACATGACTGCTACTGCTGAACCCAGGACACTGGCCTACAAGAAAATCTTCTGCTGAGATATTTTTTCTTTGCAAAAAGTCTGAAGAAGGAAAAGAGTCTCTGGCTCAAAAATTAAAATATGATTAGAAAAGAAAAAATACCAGAAGAATTAACGACATCTGTTATAACTCATTGTACCTCTCCCTCATAAGGAAAGAAAAATGCTACAGTTACTACAGACATGGGTGAAATCACATTAGTCATAGTACCTTTGAGAAATACCATCAGATTTCATGAGCTACGCAGGTCAGGTGGGACCAGGACAGAGTTTCAGGCAGCAAGCTCTGAAGAGCGCCTGAACTGCTGCATGTGCTGCTGCTGAGCCAGTAGCTGCATCCTACTTTCTAAATAGATGACCCAAAATGGTATTAATGTCAGTTGCTAACAGACACTGTCTCTGACATGAGATGTAAAATCAAGAGACTTAACACTTTTGGTCATTAAAATGAGAAGGTACCTTTTGCGGGAAAAAGATTACTAATTGCAGCATTTCAGCCAAATTCCAACACATTCAGGTTGTGCTATCCAGGAGCATGGAGGCAGGTGGGACTCACCCACCTCTGGGAGCTTCACTTTCAGTTGATTTGAGGCTCATGGAAACACATCACTCTCAAAAGAACTCCAAAGAAGCCACATGTCCACAGTTTTTCCAGGAATGACATGAGGTGAAATTTGCAGGCTGCAGAGTATTGTGCTGTGATCCCTGGCCTTTTGGAATATGGGAAGTTGGACAACCTTCTGAGGCAAACTCTGCTGGAAGGAAAGAATGAATTTTTCACATCACGGTATTCTTTATGTGTTCCCTGGCACTCCCCTGACCCCTGATGCAATTCACAAAGGAAAGTTTTTGCTCCACCCAACCAAAGAAAAAGGGTAATTTTCTTTCAGATTGGTGAATTGGTTCAGTTTTTACCATGCACAAGAAATGCTGCAATAGAGGAAATCAATCCACATAGCTGGGAAGAAGGGCAAGGAAGAGGAGTGAGACTACCCCTTTCACCTGAAGTGAGCTGTTGGACGGATTCATTCTTACCATGTAACTTCCCTGCTGGTCTCTTTAAAAAGAGAGAAGATGGCTCAGTGCATAGAGGACCCAAAGTACCACCTAGAGGAACCTCTCTTCCCTTAGAGGAGAGAGTAAGCCTAACTTACCACTGTACTTAAATCTTTTGCCTAATAAGGACAGAATTAAAGCATCTCCACTAGATGAGGTAAATATGGGCCATGGTATCTATGCCTTAATTCATTCTTGCCAAAAGGTCAGTGTAGATGGACCCAGAGGGACGACTGCATTAAACATCTCATTCGAAAAAAAAATCCTCCTTTTCTTTTGAATGCATGCTTTTTGCTCCTCTGACCAGGCACACCTGTTTTCTCTACTAACTCAAATCCTTGCAGCCATGTGTGCCCAGGGGATGGGACAGGAGGGGTAGGAGAAGAGAGGGAGTGTAATAAATAGCAGAAGCAAATAATTTACCCAGTAAAGAGCATTCCATGCTTTCCGTATGCAAATTCTGCATAAAAATTCTACATATATGGTACAGAACTACTCTGAACTGAACTCTAAAAATGTTTAATGCAAACACAGCTGTTATCAAGTGTTGTTCTTTCCAAGACTCCATTCAGTTTGATAGTTATCACTATGCCAACGACATTCCCAGTACAAATCTCTCTTTCTGAGACTTTAACAACTGCTTTACACAAGAGAATTTCATTTCACTCTGAAACTTGGTGCTCTGGATCTTTACCAAATGTGCTCCTTCCTTCTAACAGCACCAGCTGAGCCCAAATCAACTCTAACAGATATGGACATTTAGCTAATTTAGGAGTTTAAGAATATTCTTAATTTAAGGACACATTTTACAACATCCAACTTCAGCAAAATATTGCAGTGTCTTTGAGCACATACTCAAATCTCAGTGGTGTCCTAAGAGATATGATATATATGTTTAAACCACAGTGTTTCGTAAAATCCAATAAGGTGTTTTGAATTGTAGTAACGCCTTATTCAAATATCAGTTTTTGAAGGTTGAGGTAGATCAGAGTATTCTAACAAAATATTAGTGTGCTATTTTAGTTTACTGGTTAGATTGTTATCTGTATTAGCTTTTAGGAAAGGGGTATTTTTCATCCAGCCATAGAGAAGGATTTTTTTAAGAATCAGAAGTCTTCTAGGTTTATAATTCTGCAAAACTAAAGGAGACAGTACTTCACTTGTATTTCCTTCAAGGGGCTGATCATAGGACCTAGCTGTGCATTGTGTCCTTGAGAAAACACCTAAAATAACGCAGCAGCTGGCATTTTCAAATGTCATAGGAACAGTAAGGTCAGCTCCTCAGCTGAGGTCCATTTAACTCAAATCAGGACCTGAACAGTTAATATAGAATATGGTTTAATATTATATACATGTATGTGATTTTAAAAATCTGAGCTGGAAAATTCTTATTTATTTCACTGAATGCCTACAAGAGAGATGGGAGCTTATCACTTCTTTGCATCCCTGCTTGTTTGTCCACCCTCATGGAATCAACTTCCATGCAGGAAGCAGGGATGGCAGCCTTGTCAGGGCTGCTGCTCTTCATCCTTTTCAGATGGGCGGATCTTTCAGGATCATCCTTCTCCACAAAACAGCCAGCTCCACAGAGCTAATGAGGTGGAGCAGGTCATCTGCACACAAAAAGGAATGGGAACAGACCTCCTTCCACTCTGAAACAGACAAGCATGTGCTGCAATGTGTGTTAGTGAAACATGGAATTAGGAGCATATCTAATATCAAGTCACAAGAGAAGGTAATTCACAGCATTATTGTTGTAAACCCAAATCTTACCGTTCAAACTCCGTTTTTAGAGTGAAGTAAACACTACCCTACACAACTTCAAACCAATCAGGATAGCCTCTTACTACAGCTCATCTCTCTCCCTCATTAGCTCACCAAGCAGCAGCATCAGAGGCAAGTGGGGGGTTACTTACGCACTGTAGTTATCAACTGATAGTCTGCCCCTGGGAAAAGCAGAGAAGTCTCTAATTAACATAGGCCAGTTACTTTCCTCTCTTAAACCTTCTTTTGCTAAAGCACAAGGTGGAGCTACAGTAGGGAAGCCCAATAAAAGGCCTGACAGTTTTTGCATCTCTGTGACTGGCAGTAATTTAAACAGGTTTGACTCCATCTGGGCACAAATATAGCTTTGAGAAAAGGAGGAAACAAAGGCATATGGGACTGTCCACTAGAAACTAAGTAATCAAGCCTGACTCCTAATGGTGAACAGCGATGTTAAGGAGTCCTCGTCTGACTTGGCAGTGGGCTGAGTTCCATGATGCCTCTGTCCTCAGTATCACACATGGAGACTGTATAAAGCCCACGCTCAGGATCTTTTGGAGTTCACGTGATTGCTTTTAGGATACTTGTCTGCATCAGGTACAAGGATGTGCTGTAGGTTCTGACTTTGATTTCCTAAGCTAATCTGTAGCCCTTTACAAGAGGGTGGTACTGATGGCATACAAACTGTGCATTTGAAAAGCAAGTGGCTGGCAGTTGACTTTCTGAGAATACTGCCAGAGTTGAACATGAGGCTTTGCTTTGTAGTACAGTTTCCCATCAGCAACACAGATGGACAGAGGGTCATCAGTTATATGACACTACACCGCATGTGCCAAATTTTGGTTCCTCCCTCAAAAGAGATATATTTTTGCCTTTATGAAGTACAAGATAATTGTTCAGGTGTAGAAGAAAGTTTGCAGCTGAGAGAAACATCTTTCCTCAATAGACTATTCCAAATTACTCCACAGGGACTCCACACACTCTCCCAGGGAAATCACACAAAAAGCACAGACAAGGAAACAAAAGATGACTGAAGCCATTTCACAGCAAGGAAGAAGCCCAAAACCTTTACCTCTGGGTGTATTTAATTGTACTTGGCATTTCAACATATGACAAGACTGCCTTGCAAGAATAAGCTGGAATGGCCATTGGCTCAATGCAGACAGACTTCAGAAGTCAAAACACAACCCTCAATTTGCCAAAGTCGATCGATAGTCTGAGAAATCCCTGAAGGAAACTGATGAAGACAATCTGCAAAAGACAGAAGACAGACAGTAGGGAAACTAGTAGTTTTCCAGGAACTAAGGTAATATATAATTACAATGAGTATGGAAGATTCCAAGTTCAGGAAGAACTTTTGGTTACAGTCCACATTGACATCCATGATGTTACACCAGGAACCATCCCAAAGCTCTTGACAGACTACAGAAAATAGTTTTTAAATTATCTTCTCAGAAAACTTTCCAAGCAAGGAGAACAATATGTGAAAGTTTCGTTCATTAAGTAAGTGGTGAGGGGAGAAATCTGGTTTTGTATAGCAGTGGAACAACTTTAAGAGGGTTAACAGCCTCCTGGAAGATTGGCTGAGAATCTCCTATCAAACTGGCTGAAAATGGGATAATTATGATACAAATGCCTCAATGCATACGTAATTGGACAAGGGTTCAATCAGGAAATAGCACTCTGATTCTAGGCATTATCTAGCCTAACAACATGTCACTGCTCCTTTGCTGCAGGTTACAAAACCACAGCTCAGCCAGCAAGAGATCATCAGATTTTACCTGGTGCAAGTATCAGCCTGATTAACAGTTTAGCAGTTCAGAGTAGCAATTGAGATTAGCAGTTCAGACAAGCAATTTTAGGACATGGTCCAATGGTGCTTCTAAGCAATTTAAAAGTAAACTGTCACTAAAAAGGGTGGTTCACCCTTATGCCTTCTCTTGTGCCATGTCTAGTGCTTATCTACCTGTATAAGATGGTTTAGGGTTGTCCTGGGTTCAGCAGTAGCAGTCATTTTTCTCCTTGGTAGCTGGTGCAGTCCAGTGTTTTGACTTTCAGCCTGAGAACAGAGCTGACAACAATGATGTTTTGGTTTGGCCAAGGACTTTGTGAGCCTCATGCTCTGCCAGGGAGGAGGGGAAGCCGGGAGGAAGCAGAGACAGGACACCTGACCCAAACTGACCAAAGAGGTATTCCATACCACAGCACGTCATGCCCAGGATGTAACTGGGAGTTAGCCGGAAGGGCTGGGAGACAGCAGGGTCGGAGGAGGTATCGGTCGGTGCTTGGTCGGGCTGGGGCAGGGCGAGTCATTGGTTGGCTGGTGGTGAGGTGTTGTATTGTCTTCCCTTGTTATTTCCTTTATCATTGTTATTATTGGTGGTAGCAGCAGTGATTTGTGTTATACCTTAGTTACTAAACTGTTCTTATCTCAACCCGTGGGAGTTGCATTCTTTTTGATTCTCCTCTCTGTCCCCCCGGGAGTAGGGGGAGGGAAAGAAGGGGGGGAGCGAGTGAACGAGTTACCTGACTGGGTTTAAACCACGACAAGGGTGCAGTTACACAGGACAGCTATTTAGCTGCTGAAAACTGGTAGATAGCACGACTGTATAGAAGGAACTAGGGAGAAGCAGAAGTACCTCTTTCAACAGCAGGGCAAGATGTTAATTCAGCTCAACTGTATGATATAACTTTATCGTCAGATTTCCTAAAAGGAGAGGTGAAAAATCAGAATTTAGCTTGACTGAATTACTCCCCAGAGATTTCTCCCCAAATTATAAAAGGAACTTAATATGATTGCATCTTAACCCTAAGAAAAAGTGA